TACTTCTTTATTAATATGACATAATGTGTGAAAATCGGGAAAGTTTGAATCAAAGTCAATAACAGTTATTTGATATGCATGTTTGACGCGAGTACTTGTGTTGAAGCCTGAGCAAGCGAAGGGTTCTTAGATTAAACCACGAGCGAAGAGTGTGGTTTAAAAATAGAATCCTGAGCGTAGCGAGGATTTCAAGCTGCCGCCGAGCGAAACACAACTTTTCACCTCACTATAGCGAGGAAAAAGGTAGATGAGAGAAAAACAGTTGAACTGTAATAAATCAGTTTACGAATTAAAATTATTTAATAAACAAAATTAGTTATCGTTGTCAATTTAATGTCAATAATAATAAGAATAAAATATACCAACGGATCGAGTTCTTAGGTTTTCTCGATTGGTATACATAACATGTTATAACTGGTTGAAGACTGTACCACCTCAGTCAACCGTGACAATGAAACATGTAAAGGGCCCGAAACGTCGGTTTGTTTGAAAAAACAAATATACGCGATTTAAATCCGGAAAAATAGTTTTATTTCCTATATACCAACGAACTTATATTACATAAGTAATGTACGACAAATCGCGTAGTTGAACGTGTCATTATCACCATCGACAAAGTTAGGCGCACCATAGTCCATCGTCCATCGCAGATTTGTAATAAGAAAGAAAGCCGTTCCCAGCTAGTGAGGTGAAGACGATTTTTCAGTTCTCATGCTCTAAAAGTACGTCAATATAGCCAGCCTTAGGTAGCGGGAGTAAAATGCATCATGTAATCACTATGGAGTAAAAAGTACTTAGTATTTTAGACAAACTCAAACACCCACTTGCTCTAGTTTGTGCCAAAAGGTAAAAAAGGTTCAATAAGTGTAACAATATAATTATAACTCAAACAACACTTACAAATAATCACAAAAAAATGCATTACAATTTAACATTATAATAATTCATCAAAGTAAACAAACCTACAGTTTCACTACAGATATCTCTGCGCTGCGAAATTCAATAAAAAAACTGCTTGTGTGTGGAGCGTTTTCATTACATATTGCGGTGCGTTCCACGATCGGATTGGGACGTGCTCCACTACACATAAGAATTAATATAATAATTTGCGATCCGGGCGGTAATAGCCGCTGCGCGTAATTGACTAGGAGTTCTCAGCAACTCATAGCCAATGAACTGCTGGCGTTCATCCAACACGCCATCGACACTATGGACGAGGTCAGCATCGTGAAGATCTGTAAGTCAAACTTCAAAGAAGCTTTTTCGCACGCTCGGGAAGGCCGAGCAGATGCCATCTCGCCGGAGGGATGGAGAAGCGAAGAGTCTCCAGGACATTATCCAGACGACGTGTCTGGTTTCGTGGCGAAGGAGCTGCACAAGCTGCCCCCTGCCACGTTCGACCATGTCGACATCACCAGGCTACTGTAGGATCACGTCCCTAGAAGCAAGCCTGGTTGAAGTTCGGTGTAAATTGGAGACCTCCGATAATACCATCAGTGAGTTACGTGCCCAAGTTGTCTGAGTAGTGCAGCTTCTGTAAGTAGGTCACCCGAGGTCTGCAATGTGAATACTTGTCCCGGGGCGCTAAGCTCATCTATCCACAGTTCTGAGTCGGCTCATATGGATGTGTCACCGACCGCTGCCGCTCTCACCGAGGACGTTTCCTCACGCCCCGCCCCTCGTTTTTCCGTCCCGGCGGAGACGTTCCTCGTAAGCACGTTGACCCCTCGACTTGATTACGCTGCTGTTGCCGCTGCTACCCAACCCCTTGCTCCACAACCACAACCCAGGCAAACGACGGAGGGGAAGAAGAAAAAACGGAAACTCATCTCTGGAGCTGTGTCATCAGTACCACCGAGCGGAGTAGACCAGTGCGACGAGGACGGCTTCATAAAATTAGAAAAGAAAAAGAAGTAGACTAGCCGTCAACTTAGTGGCACCGCCCCGACTGGCCCCAACCATCTATTGCGTCCAGCGGAACCGACGACGTTGTTATACGTATCACGACTTCATTACTCCACAAAGTCTGCGGATATTGTGGAATTCATACGGGTGAAAGCCAAAGCTGCCCTGAGGGTCGAGCAGTTGGAGTCCCGCCACAAGGTGAATTTTAATTAATTTGTGGCGAGAGTACCAATTCAACATCAGAATTTTTGTACTTGGTCTATCAACGACTTTTTAGTCGTAGCGCCATCTATGAGAAATCTATTACAGATTTATCACCCAGTTAGTAACTTTACAGCTACCAGTCCTGGCGAGAGATGTCGCTATTCACTGTATTAATTAAAGTTTTATTGAATTGATATTCAATTATTTTTTATGAAATTACTCCACTAGTTTGTTATAATTATTAATACAAAGATCGAACACTCAGAAAAAACACTCAGAAAAAATTCCTCAGAAAAAACTCAGCAAAATTTTGGCTCGTGTCTAGTTGGAACGTTACGCAATTTATCATAAAGTTCATTATGCAATGTATAATATCATTACAAAAATTCGCTTCCATTCCGTTCCGCCGCAATATAAATTGAGCCGTAGTCTCTCGATAAGCAATATACTAAATTACACCTATCGGTTAGTCGAGAAATGAAACTACTTTTTTGGATCTAAAGTTTGGAAAAACAAAGAAAGCTAATCTTTGTTTTTCCAAACTAACTTTTCGGGTTCTCGTAAGGACCCGTGGTTTTGTGGTTTCGTTTCCAATTTTATTATTATGATAAAACACAAAAACATCGCAAGAAATGCGTTCAAATTCCATCTAATCGTTTTGTTCCGCAAATAAATCATGCAACTTTTGACACTTAAATTTTGTCGATTTGCAAAAGTTGCGGAAATTTAACGAACAATATTCGCAAAGTAACTTTATTTGTTCCATTTTTAATATTCCCGCAGGCAGTTGTTTAAAATTACTTTTTGCGGTAAAAACTGTGTACAGTAGGTAACAGTCTTTATAACAACATCAAGTACTTATTAGATCTTACTGAAAATAATTACTACATTCAAGATGTAGTTTTGTACCACCCAGAGTACACGTTGGAATAGATATATACACAATTAAGTACATAAGTCAGTAGCAGTAGAGCTTCTTGTGAAAGAGTTCATCCATGGAAGTACTGCTATATACCTTACTTATTTCTGCCAAGCAGTAATGTGAGCATTACTTTGTTTCGGTTTACAAGGGTAACCGCTCACGCGATACATGCAGCCGTAGACGCATACCATACCTAGCGGTGCCGGTGATGATTTTATACCGATTTATCGGACATCGAAGTTATAACAGGTAAAAGAACTAATATTAATTGCTATTTCGGTAACTACTCTAGCAAACCATACAGTTATTGTTTGGGCTGGTGATTTCGGTGTTTATTTATTGAAAACATACCGTAAGTAGCATTTTTTAAGTTTACCCTGAATATAAATGTTTATAAACTATACTTTAAGGAGTAATTTCATGGTAAACGTTAGAACCACTCATACGGAATATTATCATACTTATCCAAGTACACCAAAACTTTCATTAGTGCTTTTTAAGTGCAGGATTTGCGGTATGTTACTGCATCTTATTTGAGATGTTTTTGTTGGTAGTACGGAGGGTATTTATTTAGTAATGCAGAATAATAATTTTTATTTATAAAAAACTTGTATTTAAACTGAATGCTTTTCTAATTTGCGAAACTAAATAGCCGCCATTTTGCGTTAGGAGGAGCGCATCGCGAACCCGCTCACGCGAGAGTACTGGTGAAATTACAGGCACATGTAACTTTTCAACTTATGTCTCAGGGTGATGTCTCTTTGTCTGATTCCGCACTTCTCCTCAACCTCCGGCTGCCGCCGCTGACGCGAAACAACATCGTCTCATTTTTGATAAATGGACATAAAGATTGTTTTGATTGGCTTAGCTACCATTGACATCGGAATGGTCGAGTTAACTACGTACTTAGTGAAATTTCATATCGATAAGGGCGGTGACCGCAGACTCTTACCTTTATCTGCACATCCAATCCATCTGACGTCGTTTCACGGGAATATGTGGACGCAATCCTTCCACTTAATTCTTAAACAATTTCATGCTCAGAATCTTATCTAATGTCGAAATCGCTTACTGGCTGTATTTTTTCTTTTAGTTCACATTCGCTCTTCGACCACTTTCACTTTCTGACCCCTTTCCAAGATATTTGGATAACCCATCATTTTTGACTTCGCGCTATTTTCAAAATGTTTAACCATTGAACGTAACATAATGAGGATTGGATTTAGTAATTACTTCAACTGATGTCCAAAATACTATCGGGCTCTCCGTTCCAAAGGTCTAAATTTCTTTTTTTAACTTCCATGGTGGTGACACCCTAAAGGGTGAAAACTACTCGCCAGCGCGCAACAGCATCTCATCCATAGTAAATTTATCTTTTAAATGAGGTTTGGTCGGCATGCTTGACCCAGAAGCGATATCACATACAATATCTTATATATATAATAATGTAAGTAGTTTCTTCACTCTCTTTTAAACGACTTACTTGAAATCACTTGAGCGGTGTTGTTTACTAAGCGACGATATACTATTACTTAATACATATGGAAAAGAAAAAAAGTGTTTAGTAAAGATGAGAATTTGGAACAAATTGTAGTAGAACAAATAATTTCATTACAGTTAAATATATTAAGAGAAGTTAGCCATATTAAATCTACTGAGTTATTACAATTACTAACTGCGTCCGTGTTCAAACGGTTACCTTGCTGGACTGCCACGTAGAGGTCACGGGTCGATTCCTGGGCCGGGACAAATATTTATATGGCCTACATTTATTTCTCTCGTGAGTTTGGGTGTAATTTGTGGTTGTCTATGTGTGTGTCCATGGCACCCGCGATATAGGGTTTCCCTAGTGCGGGGCTATGAGTGTGTGCGTTATTATAATAATAATAATAACTCCACGCAACATAATCGTGACATAGATATTATGTATGCATTTATTTATTAAGTTTTTTATTGTTTACTAGGCACAATGACGACCCACTTCTCATACCCAAGTCTCGATCTCCAAGACAAGCTAAAACAGACCGCTGAAGCTATAGTTGCTCCAGGAAAAGGAATTTTAGCTGTGGATGAAGCCAACGGTAAGTCTTGGTCGGCGGCTTAGTCGATGTGCTAAGACCCCCACACTGGCCCCTTTCAAGCTTCAGCGTCTTGCCAACTCACGCATAGCGTCGACACGATATCCGCGCGACTGCGACGCAACATCAGCGCGGCGTTTACCCGACGTTCGGCACTATTCAACAGTCGCTCAGTGCTGGCGTTGCGTCCACAAATTACTTAGGGTGCGTACAGATCTGGCGAACGCACTGCACGCGTGCTGCATGCGTGCAGTTAAATACACGTTACTATATGTGGCTATTAGGCTGCTACCTACGCCAAAATCACCAAATCCTTATAAATACAAGTTTACGTACAGAGGTACAATAAATCACTCGACCGATCGGGTAGGTAGGTATTCCTCGGCCCCCAGCACGCGTATTGTGGTCTAACACGACATTACAATTTATTTGCCTGAGCAGTAATTAACTAAAATTATTGCTTGGCGGCAGAAATAGGTAAGGTGAAAGAAAATATGCTCTATGTATTATACGCTTTTCATGTGGAACAACCCCATGTCTTTATATGTACGTTAGTTTTAATTATATTGACCCTCTCTAGCAACCCTTAGGGTATAAGTGAAGGGCACTATGACCTGTGCGTGTACCTTACAAGTTCAGGAACCTTACAAGTTCAGGTTCTGACCCTAGATCAGCCAGTGCACAGGGTTGTTATAGGCCTCAGTCACTTGACTTCATCCGGTTCTCCAGGGGCTAGTGCCTCGGGTGAGCCGCCCTGGGTGCACGTACAGTAACCTACCTATTTTCCAGGTAGGTACCGGAGCTGTAGGCACGGTCACTTCCCGTTGCGCATTGTACAACTAGCGCTTGCCACCGATAAGCCAAACCAAAACCAAAATCAAAAAAGCAAAACCAAATCTCCTCAATGGTGGTGGAGCTGCAAAGCACGCTCACTTCTCGACGCTGAAAAACGACGTCTCTCCAGCTCCCAATAACCTAAGCGGCTGGAGGGACTGGAGGATATCTAGCTTATCCTTTACTAGCTCTCCGGGCAAGTGCCGGGGATACCAGTCGAAGTGTCCTGTGACAATGTCCAGGCATAGCTTCCAATTTAAAGGGCAATTCACGTACCCCGCGCGTCTCCTCGCTTCAGGCCCTCAACTAGACCGCTACTGCGATGCGCTAGCTGCGCACGAGACAGACGCCCCGGCCACATGCAACCGGGGCACACAAATATGTTCGTCTCTGCGGCTCACCACAAATCCCAGCAAGTCCATACCTAAGTTCGGGTCCATCTGAGACGCCCGTGAAGGCGTATCACTGGCGGAGCTTGGCCCTGTCGCCCGCTGTGCCCTGGTTTTGCCATCGAGACCGTAGTCTCTTCGGTAAACCGTCTTATTATGGAACAGTTGATATTACTTTCACAATTTAAGTAAATTTTGTTCGTTATTTATGGCCAGAATCATACCCACAATGCCCACATCACACAATGCTGCCCTCTTTATCATAACTGACATAATCGACATATATGGCGTAATTGAGTTATTATTATATCTGAGATCAGCAAAACGACATCTACAACCCTAGAGGGGTTGTAGATCTCGTCGAGTTATTTAATATCTTATTTAATTTCAGTTTTATTGTTGTGTATTCCATTAAAGATATCAATAAATCGTTGTCCACAGAAGATTCGCCGGTCACTTTGTATTAATAGAATTATGCGTGCCGTTCTTATAAAAGATACTTCAATACTAGACGCCGCTTGTTCGGTGACTATTCGATAAAAAAACGTATGACTTCGCGCCATGTGAAAGAGATGCGTTAATACTATGCGCCAATGCACACCGAATACGTTAAAGTGCATTCGCTTTGCTTGACAAGACCGTTGCGTATTTGGTAAACGTGTGCGATTTTTTGCAGGACATACATCATGTGAAAACTGTTCTATATCTAATGTATGCGGCACTGTTTATTCGGTCAGATTTATACCGCAAAAAACGTGCAGTACAATGCTGTGTAAACGGGGGCAAACTGGCCTACGTTTCGCCTAATGCCTATTTTGATCGTTAAAATTAACAGAAAGTACAAGTTGTTATTCAATTTCATAGTGATCAAAGTATACAGTGTTACTATTAAACGTAATCTCATTGCACGATCCATAAACCTGGCCAAAAGATTTCTGAAGTTTCAGTTTCAAAACTATGATGGTTCCAACAAATATATTATTTTTAATTTCACAGATGCTATTGGCAAACTCCTAGCAACCGTTGGACTGCAGAACACAGAAAACAATAGAAGAAGATATAGACAGCTTCTGTTTACAGCCGATGACGTAAGTGAATAATTAAAACTACATCGTTTTTTTGTGAGTGCGGTTATTGCAAAGAACCACAAGAGGTATCGTGGTAAATGATTATGGGACGCATCCAGGAGGTAATGAGCTTGCAACCTTGAAAATTATTACAAATGGCTTAGAAAAGGCAGAAGCCTTTAAAAAAAAATAATGACTGGGTATTGACAACTCATTAAGATAATATTAATGCGCGTCAAACCTTGAACATTAAGACCACAAATTAGAGCGACCCCAGATGGGCGTTGCATCGACGTTGCGTTGTAGTACATAACATAAACGACATGCTACCCAGTGCGTTGAAACAACTTAGTAGGTTCAAACCAAGTGTTGCGACCACGTTGCGACGACGATGGCGTTGTGTGGCATCACTCATGTGCAACTAACTTGCAATGACGCACCTTTTCAATGTACCGTGAGGCTTGTCCTTGAAATTTATATATAGTGCAACGCAGCGTCACAACGCAACGTCGATGCAACGCCTCATGTAGCATGATGGCATAGTTCTCGTGATGTACGTGCGGAACCCGAGCGTTACCAAACGCGGGGATTTTAAAATGCCTACCGTAAATAATTTGGATCCACAAACGATCGAACAAATCCGTGGGTCAAAGACCTTTAATGTATTTGATTCTACGATCACCTACCCACAGACCCGAAAAGTGTGTTACAAATGATGAATGAATAATGACAAAACGTTTTATACTCAACTAAAACTTCTTTTATTGGATAATAAATTGTACAGCGTAGAAAAATTTGTTTCCAATATTTGTAAATTTTTTATTTTATGCTGTTGTACTTCGACAATATTCTGTGTTTATGTATTAAAATTTTATAGTTATTTTACTTTATTGTATTAAACGACTTTAAAAAGGGATCGACTTTAAGAAAGGAAGAAGGTTTTTAATTTCGTCCTAATTTTTTTATATATTTTTTGTTTGTATGTTACGAAATTACTCCAATATATTTATTTTGTTAACCGATTTCGATGATTATCTTTTTCGTGGAAAGGAAATACCTCAGTAGTGTAAGAGTAACGTATCTGTTACATAGGAATTATTAAGTAATCTGTGTGTAACGAACACTGTGAAAGCGGATATAAGCAAATTTTGTAGGTTTTTTTTTATAAAATTATTTTCAATATTATTGCTTGTATTATAGTCGTCACCAAATAAGAGGTCAAATTTGACAGCTAAAGAAGGTGGATAGTATGTAACTTTGAATGCGATCAACGAAACAATAAATAACAATTATAAGCATCAATGAGTTTACGAAAAATACATACATTTTATTGAAACATTAAATAATAAATAAAGCTACAAATCCTGACTCAATTAGAAAAAGTTAACGCGTACTTCCCGATATGGTAGAAAAAAGATATTTATACCGTTGTACGCGGATAGGCTCCAAGGCAAAGACTTAAATATGAGAACACCTGAATGTGGAAAATGTAAACGAGTGATTAACGCCCTGCAAAAACTATACTATATGGGGGGATTTTTGTGCACTTTTATGAGATACACCTTGGTCAATTTCTGCACAAAGTAAAACATATTCGAAATTCAAATAAACAAGATGGTCGCCATACAAGTTTCGAAGCCTTCTATCACGGAAACTATTAAAGATAGGAGGTGCTGGAAGGAATTTCATAGAGGGTAATAGTGGTCAACTGCATGTGTAAAAAAAAATTCAAGATGGCGAATCTAAAATGGCGGCCGAAGAAAAACTTGCTTCGATGCAGCTGAAAATTGGCATGCGGCGGTCTTTAGGAGTCCTTAATCATAATTTGTCATAAATTTTCAAAAATCGTAGTTTTTTTTCGCCATTTTTTAATATGGCTGCCATATAAGTGTTTTTTTTTCGGTAAAAATAGCTGCCGAAAGAGACTCGCTCTGTTTCAGCTGAAAGTTGGCATGTGGAGACCTCTACAAAAGCCAGATAATAATTTGTGCTCGAAATTAGTTTTTCGCCATTTACAAATATGGCCGCCATACAAGTGTTTGTTGGCAGAAAAAAAAAATTGTTCTGATCCTTTCCAAAATTGTCTTGTGGGAGTCGCTAGGAATGCTTGATAATAATTTGTGATCAGTATTAGTTCATCGCCATTTTTCAATATGGCTGCCATAGAAGTGTTTTTGGCGGCAGATGAAAATTTGCTCTAATTCGATTGTAAATCGGGGTGTTTAATAATAATTTGCGGTCAAAATTTGTTTTTCGCCATTTTTCAATATGGCTGCCATACAAACATTTTGGCGGGAGATAGAAGTTTGCTCTAATTCAGCTGAAAATCGGCATGTAGGGGAGATCGCCCCATAGAGATTATGGCTGTTTAATAATAATTTGCGGTTAAAATTTACGTTTAGTCATATTTCAATATGGCTACCTTACAAACTTTTTTAGCGGATGATAAAAATTTGCTCTAATTCTACTGAAAATTGGCATGTGGGGTTCTCTATGGGTGTTTAACAATAATTTGCAGTCAAAATTAACTTTTTGCCATTTGTCAATATGGCCGCCATTAAAGAACTATGTTAATTCATTTAATGTTATAAGTGCCGAGGCCGTATGCCAAGGTCTAGCGGAGGGCGAAGCCCGAAGCGTCCGCATGCCATCTTACGTAAATAGTATACGGAGACTAAATTACGAGTACAAGATTTAACAATTGTTCAAAATGTAAGGCGTACTTCCCGATGTAGTGAAAATAAGATACTTATAGCGTTGTTGTATCTCGACCGTCTCTCTGTTAGATTCTTTTTTCTTGGAAGCTATTCCAAAAAGGAAAGTATTTAGGGAAAAAATGCCAGACAATCACTCCAAATTTCTGGTCTTAAACTAGGGAATTTCCAGTACTATGAGTAACTATAATTCTAAGGGCAATGCCCAGAATATCCTGACCGGAACCAACTTAATTTTTTTTTCACAAATTGGCTCATATTAGGGATCGAATGTGGAACCTCCGCATATAGCGCCCATAATACTAATCACTGTGCCACCGAACAGTATAAGCACACCCCGTAATTTGAAACCGACCACGCGCCGCAGGCCGAGCCCGAGGGGTCTAAATAATATGACAAAACATATATGAAGTACTGTTTTTGCACGAATTCTTCCCTTCGATTTCTAGGAAAAAATGTTTATAAAATATATTAGAAAAAATTATGAACATTATTTGAGATTGTTTGTTGTTGATATTGACAACTTCTAACTTGCCAGCCGAATAATTGAGAATTTATGAAATTCCATGGTGTCTTGGTAATTTAATCTTTTTTTATGAACTTACTTATTTACACTATATTCCCGTTATAAACCATTTATGAATATTATAAAATCAAAATTAATAGAATTGGATAGAATTCATCGGAATGTGGGACAATTTTACGAAAATAAGAGGAATTGTTACAGAACTGCAAGGAATTCTGTAAATGAATTGGTTTTAACAGAATTGCACGATTTGGCCTTTTAGGCACGATTTGGCCTGAACAATAATGAACCGAAAAACAATCTAAACAATTACAAACTCTTAAAATTTTGATTCGATTTCTCGTAGAAATCGTATAATATGATTACCGATATGATTAGTCCACATCCCTATTCGCGTCTCGATGACAAGTGCCAAATTTGGCCTCTTATTTGGTGACGACTATAGTGACGATCATATTAATATTTCTTGATACACACATGCCATACTATACACACTGATAATATGAAATAAATTATTGTATTCTATTCATCTGTTTAGAACTCCATAATAGATACCAGGAACTCATATGTTTCGTGTGTTTTTTATGTACGACCATGGGCCACAGATCGTTAGTTTTAAAAACGTCGAAAATCCGTATCATATCTAGACGACGCTGAGCAAATCCTGGAAGTCGTTTATATTATGTAAATGGTCGTGAACATCAATGAATTCCTCTAGAAAAAAGGAAGTTCAATAGACGGCATTGTGTTTTACAATCTAATTTAGAAATTAAATAATGAAAACTGACACTGGCGATGATCGCCTTAATTTTTATATTGTTTTTATAGAACTGATACTGGCTGAAGTCTAGTGGCCGCCATAAAATAAATAATAATAACGCTTTCGAATATGGGTAGATGGCGCTAATCCTAAACAAAACGAAACAAAAGCCGGTAAAATCTGTGCAATAAGCGCCACCTATTTAAGTTGTTTGTTATCACTAGAAATTAGAGTACCTTTGATTACTTGCAGCTTGTCAATGTAAAACGAATTAGTTACAATAATTGTAACTTTTTCATTGAAAAAATTGTCGGCTTTTTTCAATTTCCATTTCTTTGTACATTTTACATTTTCTTTTCTGGTTGTCATGGTGGCGGTGATTTGGTGATTATATGTATTGTGTCAAGTGAAAAGTTGACCTTTATTTGCAGAAAATAAAAATAATTTTCAAAATCGGTACACAATTGATGGAGAATTTGGTGAATACGCGGACATGCCTATAAAATTTGAAGATTTCCTTCGATTTTCATGGGATCCCCTCATCAGATTCTGACTTGGTCAATGGGACTACCACGAGAGTGCACCTTTTCAAACAAAAAAAGAATATTCAAAATCTGCCCACAATTGATAGAGATATCTGAAGACATATTTTTAATATATATACCGAACGTATAACCTCCTCCTTTTTTTAAGTCGGTTTAAAATAGCTATTTGGCATTCGTCGCGACATCTGGTGTACCAATGGTAGTAAATACCCGACTATGCTGTCTTGTATCGCAGTTGGCAGTCCTCTCGAGTTATTGGTTCATTGTAAGACACAGTTTTTTGGCTCACTCGTTTATGTATCTATTCTTACGAAATTATTTATTAGATTTTATAAATCGAAGCCCCAAATTCAGAAACGTAACCTATCATGCACCTAGAAGATCTAAAACATAAATGACTAAATTACGCCTACCTTTTTACTAGGATGTCGTTGGATAGATCTTTTACGGTGCAATAAAAATGCCTTAGGACCCAA